GTTTCTTTCCTTAAAGGAGGATTGCACGGAAAGAACGAAGGTCGAAGAAGGGAGAAATCGCCTAGTGGGGAGAGCGGTGAATCTCTTGAGGGTGCGGACAGACACGCAATCGGCATCGAAAGATTTGACCTCTGAGATCTAGCATGGCTCAAAGTTGGCGAGTTCGGCGATCTCCGCCCACCGATCGTCTGATCACTCGCCGTAGTTCAATACGTGGCGAGTGATTAGATAGCTGAGAGAGCGTAGTGTTGAAGAGGGCACAGCGATGAGAGTCGCATCAATGCTCAAATCAACGGGCAAGGAAGGGGTCCCATTTCTCCGGTTCTGGGCCGTTTTTCGTGGTTTCGCTTTCTTTCTGGTACTACTCACCATCTCTACCTCAATTTGGAATGGGTTGCTTTTCCATCGTAAATTCGTCCTTTAAATTACCTAAAGAAGTTAGGTTATCGACAAGAAATTTAAAGTAATTTTCAGCAAAAGTTTATTGAGTGAAAATGTCGAGCAATGAATGGTTCAAGGTTTTCTTACTTTTTCGAGTATGTATCGCTTCCTGCATCGCTGGTAGAGGAGTAATTTTAGAATGGCAAATATATTTTTGTGAATTCTTCGCAATAAGACACATTGGTAGAGAAAGGTGTCCTAATATGTAGGTCCGGAGAACTGTACTCTCTTGCATCAGTTGTGCAATCTCTGACACAAGTGTTCTGAGCAGGGGGTTGATTCGTTGCGTATTTTTTTTTCATATTTCTTGTTGCAGTGACAAAGGGGGCGGAAGTGGTGTAGTGACAAGTGGCGCGCTCACCACGCGAGCGGTCCGGGATCAAATCCTGGGTCGTGAGTCGCCCGGGCCAACCAAGCCTTCCATCCCTCCGGGGTCGGTTAATTGGTACCAGACTTGTCTGGGAGGATAAAAACACTGACTTGAACATCGGCTGGCCCCGCAAGTCATTGTATAGGCCACATCGCATTCAAACGCCACTGCGAATGTACAAATGGAAGTAGAATGCGTGCCGCATCCCAAAACGGGATTGATCAACGGCAAATGCTTTATCCTTTATCCTTTATTCTTTGGCATTTTTTCGGGCTTTTTTGCTTGTGTTCTTCTTCACCGCCTTTCTTCCTAAGCCTATTTCTTCTGTAATTTTATAGACTCCCTCGGTTCTGCCAAGAAACATTACCATGTTTTCTCACACAGCCAGATGCCTTTGAACATTGTTCGCGCCTAGGGTTACAAAACTTCTGTCAATTAAAGGGTGTAGATAGATAAGCATACGGTATGGGTAGCACTAGGACTAAACCTTTCAAGGAGATTAAAAGAGCAAAGATGTTGTAATAGTGTGCAAGTGTGAGAGCTCCCAGACAGCATTACAAAATCTGGATTGCTAGCCTCACGGATTGAGTAGAGTCTTGACCATGTATACACTATTTCCTACAGCGATACATGTCACAATTGCACACTCAAGGTTAATCACTGGCATCAGCTCGCGTCAAAGCACGTGTGATATTTTTATGGCTACTGTCATATGTGCTATTCATTCTGCAATTACGAAACGTGTCGCAATGGGAAACAGTGTATATTTACACATGTGTGTCTACTATGTAGATTTTTACGGCCTCAGGTTGTCTGAACAAGTTCGTTCACTTTCTGAAAACCTCCTCAGGAGAATTGCTTCGAGTAGAATAGGATTTTGGGATCCCATTCGAGAGATGTGCTTCATATAATGCGACGAAGATCGTTCAACAAAGAAGTCGGACAGGTTCGACTAACACGCTCTGAAGACGGAATGACGTGAGCCTCATGATGGGGATGTATGAAGCCCTTACCATTAGGCGTAATGTACCGCACTCTGGCCCGGACAGAATAGGATTGTTTCCGCACCTCAGAGCCTCTCTTTTCTAAAACTTTTTAAAAGTCCTGAACTGAGCTTTAGGTAAATCTGAGGCGATGGGCTGCATCCACCTCCCGGAGCCACACTTTGCGAATTCTTAGGCCGACGTCATAGTTTAGCGAATCGCTCAATTCGCAAACTATGACATCGGCCTTATACTGATCAATATTGCGAGCGCGATTCGCAAAGTCTGACATCGGCCTAGTGCCTGCGTGTCTTGTGATAACGCATAAAAATAGAAAAAAATGCCAAAAAGGTAAATTTTACAAACCTTTTTGGTACTGGCTTATTTTCTCCTGGAAATAGAAAAGATCACTGAAGTAAGCTATGAGATTTCGGTAGAGCATTGTATTGTCTTCGAGAACCTGAAGAAATCCGTAATCACGACTTCTAGGAGTCCAGAAAGAACTCAGAATGATAAAGGAAGCGATATTCTTTCTTTAGCAATTGCTCAAGAGTGAGCCGTGCTTCGACTGGCTCGCGCGATTAAACATTTATCCCAAAATTATGGCTTGGCTTGGGCCAGGTTGGGGCGCATGCAAATGACCCGATTGTGCAGATGCCACTGCGCTGCTTTTGGGTTTCAACAAGGAGCGTTTAAAGACTTTTTTATATTATGAGATTAATGAGGTTGCTTTCCTTTCTATTTACGCACCTTCATTTTCTTCAGAAGTGGATCATTGCAAAGAATTGCTCTCGATAGACCTAACGCATCTGCCGAATCCGTGTCCATGAATTCGACAATCTGAAAAGATGACTTCACAGACCAAGATCAAAAATATGGAAACACCAATCAGGGACCTTGTGTTTGATTTTCTTCATCACAATGTCGAGCGTCTTCCCTTTTGATGGGTCCGTTTCCAGCTTATTAATCGTCATCTAAAGAATAATACACACTTGAAATTGACCTTAGTGCTACAGTGCAGCTTTCCATGTTAAAGGCGGATTTTAAGATGAAAAGACAGCCCATTTTTTAGAAATTGTCAGCGATGCACGAAAGAAGAAAAAACTGAG